TCCAGAAGGACGCCTATCAGCCATCACTACTCCTCCCTTAACAGCCTCAGCAAACAATCTGGAACCCGAGCCAATACCCTCGCACGGCAAACAGATCAGTTTGGGAGGAGGATCAAAAGATCTCACCACAGCAGGATGACAATCAGCCCTAGTAAAATTCCCAGCAGCAAGCAAATCCTTCCTCACCCAGAACGTAGTAGGAAAAGGTTTTGGGAGGAAAGGGTTAGGGTTACTGTGGCGGCGGGGAGGGGAAGGAGTCGACCACAACTGGCCATAGTGCTCCTCTATATATTCTAGGTCATGACTAGGATGGGAAGACGCACTACCAGAATTTGCTTTCCTCACCACCACACATCCACGAATGGATGGCTCGCAGATCTACGGAGCAGGAATGGGGCCTCTCTGCTTTTGGTCACATTTTCCTGAAGCACATGCTCCTAGCTTTTCCTCTAATTTTGAATTCAAACTAGAGTGGGCAAATCTTCCACCGTCAACCTCACATGATTTATCCTTACCATCAACCATCACATTATTTTTTGATATCAAATTACCAAGAGGGAGAACCCTCAAATCCTCTTTCTCTCGATTATTCACCGTCAAACTGTCAACTGAAAGGGAAACCCCCGAATAACGTAAACTAGTGCTATGAACATCAACTGGATCAAGTATTTTTGCCGTACCAAATCAGCGGCGTGCATGAAATTCATGCAAACATCTCAGAGAATTGACAGAGATGATACCCGGAATCATACCTTGGTCGCCAAGCCAAGGTGGGAGCTCGATGTCGTGCCTGCCTCCCTTGTGAACTCGGTGGAGGCCTCCAGGACGCAGACGTCCACCGTGCAAGCCCCGACCAGTACCATCGACGGTCGCTAAGGCCGGCGAGGAGGAAGGACCCCGGGCGGAAGCACCCGAGGGGAATCCTGGATATCGCCTCCATGCGCGGCCTTGCGATGTTGAGGCGAGGAGGGTTGGATCGGAATTCCCTCCACCGCGCAGCCTGCGCCGGATCTGGCGAGTCCGCCTCCTGGATCACCCAGAAGAGGAACTCCACATTCGATGCGCCATCGGCGCCGGTGAATCTCGCGTATTCGTCAAACCTGGCGTGTTGCAGGATGCTCTCGAAGATCTCCGACCACATCGAGCGGTCCGGGAATCATTCCCGCACCACACGCTCCATCTCCAGGTACGCCTCCGATGAGTTCGCATCAACTGGAGGAGACGGAAGCAGCAACGGCAACGCCACCCTTGTCGTCGGCTGAAGGCGACGGATCTGAGCACCCCGGCGGCAGGTGTTGTCATCCAGTCCAGTGGTGAAAGGGGAGGTGGATAGGCTCGGGGGAGGCGCAACAACGACGGTGGAGAGGGAGGTAGGTGGGGGGGGGGAAATCACCTCATCCAAAAATCCTCTCTTTGCAACGCTTCTCGAAAGGAACAAATCACCTAGAATTCAAAATGCCTAGGAACATGACATTTTTCAATAAAGGGAATATATTAATATCGCGACGATACCAAATACACCCAGGTTCTACACCAACAAGATGTCCAAAGACATCAGGGATGCACACAGCCAAGAAATAAAATAAAAAAGAGAAGAAAAAAAAAGACCCCGTCACGGTGATGAACCACTTGCAACAGTAGCACTCCAACCACCACCAAAGACAACACCAGTACTACAAACGGGATTCTCCAAAAGCGACGCCTCCAAGAAGGAAACAAAGCACACGCGTTGTCGTCGCCTCCAAGAATTCAAAATGCCTAGGAACACTACATGCCAGTAGTTTGAACTAAAAACACGAATTAAACATCCAGTTCAGGATGACACGAAGAAAGATTCATATCCAGGCTTTCCATCCTACAGGGAATGCTAACCGCAAGATTGACCCAACTAGCATTGTACTGCTGCCAGACCCACCACAGCTCCTTGGTGCCACACGAATTTCTCTGCTTTCCTACGCAGAAACCATCAAATTGAAGCAGCGTGATGTTGAGATTTTCTATATTGTGCTAGATGGTATATTGATATCACTTTTGGTGTTTAATTGAGCCATGGACAAGATTTACAACCTAGCAGGGAAGAAAAATGTAAAAGATAGGCTACAAAGAAGAAACATAGCATTAGGCTATTCTGTCAATAAACCGTAGGTTGGATTGATGCAATCCATTATGAAATACGAATGGGAGACATATGGGAAAGCATTGCCTCCAAGAAACACATGGAACGTAGAGGCAGGCTGCGAAATAGTATTTCCTAGGAGGGAAGGCAGCGTAGACACCTGCAGACTCGTGGTGAAGATCTGCCTTGGGGGCCGGCGCTGGAGGCGAGACGAACAGACAGGAACAGAGCAACGAAGGGACAGGAACAGACAGGAACAGAGCAACTTAAGTTTTCTCAAAATCTCAAAATGGCCATAGTTGGGATCACAATGTCTGAAACCCGAGTGACATGCATTTGTATCAAAATTTGGCACAGCAGATTCAGAATTCCGCATAAGAGCAAGCAGTTTGCTGGTCCTCAGATGTTAAAACGCCTCAAAAACCTGTTTGAATAGACATACAGCCTCCAATTCCGCAACTGCAACATTCAAGATGACATGACTAAGACTGATTAGTGACCCCCCACCTATCATCACCTAGTTAGTCAACTCCACGATGGCGCTGACAATGTCACCATCTGCAGCCTTGAGCGCCTTCACAGCCCTGGACCTCGACACAGAGGCCTGCACCATCACGACCTCAACATCCTTGTTGTCAACGCCCGTCTCGTCGACCTCCTCGTCGTCCTGGGCTGCTGCCACGGACGGCTCACCCTTTGAGATGACGCTGCCCGGTCCCGGCGCCTTGAACTGCCCCGCCGCTTCTGTCAGCAGCTTAGCGTCCATGTCCTCCATCTTGACCACCCCGAACATGACATAGGTTTCTGAGTGCGAGCTCTTGAAGACGTCTGGCTTGGAGAGGACAAACGTAGCCTGCAATAGTATTGAGAGATGTTACGAAAATGCGACAACCACCAGCATGTAATTATGCTACAGGGAACAATGGCTGAAGTGGTTAAGATGCTCACGGTCTTGCTCTGCTTGATAGTTACACGGCTCACACCAGTAATGGCCTTCATGCCAAGCCTCTCCATGGCTTTCCTGCACTTCTTCTCACTCCTAGATCTTCCACTAGCATCACCTCCTAGTGCCAGAAAGCACAGGCGCATAATGTCAGATTTTCAAATTTTTGCATAACCCCAGAATTTTACAACTAACATAGTTGACTTTGTGAATTATTATCGGTAACCGTTGGAAATGGAAAGTGTAACATTCATACAACACTTGAACTTTTCACAAGCACGATTGAACAGAATCTGTGACTGCAATCATGTATTCTTGGTATCCATTGTCGATTTTGGAATTTTGAGTAAGATCTTAGTTTTGGCACTTTGGGTAAGGTACAAAGAATTAGCTATTCATACAATGGAAATCCCAGCATCAGTTCATACTAAATGCATTGAAATGATTCACCTACCAAAATTATACTTGCAAAACCAAGATTTTACATTCAGGATTTGTTCCTATCAAACTAAATGGTATAGCTGAACATTCATGTATATGTTAATGCAAGTTGAAATTGAAACAAGGTGCCACCTTACAGAGGGGAATATTATATACAAATGGCAGGAAGTACTCAAGAAACTATATATTCTGTAAATAAGCAGTGCTGAATAATTGAGGAATGAGTAAATATGATACAGTTCCAAAAAGGTGAGAATATAGACCACAAAGGCATATCAATGGTTCGTAAAGAACAAAACATTAGAACAGAAACAAACTGGTCGGTTCCTAATCTTCAAATAAAAAACAGGTCAAAGTGAACCAAAATAGGTAAATATAGAGTTTGTATCATTGAGGAACAGATCAGATAACAATTTCTGAATTATGAAAATGCCAACATTAAGACTAACAGAAACAAAATAATCCATTGATTCAGTGGTTGAATAAGCAACGTTTAATTTCGAATTTTGGTGTGGGCATTAACTTCAGATGTCTAAATTTATGTTAGAACTAGGCAGCATTACAATAAGAAATAGGCTTATCTGTAACTAAGTGGTACTTGAACTGAATAGAAGGAACTGCAGAATTTCAGCATACCCTCAACATCATCGTCATCCATTTCATCCTCATCCTCGTTATCGTCTTGATGGTCGTCATCATCATCCTCAAGGATAGGCTCATCTTCCTGAGAGCATGCATTCCAAATATCATGTTACTTGATGGTCATAAGTATTAAACACTAAACAGCGCTGCCTCTGAACAGGGGATATGCAGAGGAGGGGAAACAGAGTTATCTTTCCAGCATGAAGATGTGAGTACATACTAAGTAGCATCAGCACAAGATAAAAGGAAATGGCACTCCAAAAGCAAAAGAAAGGAAGAGTGTGTACATTACAAGGAACTGTTGTCTGCATTGATCACAGAAGGTATGTTCACACATTTATATTATATTGTTAGTACAGGAAATATGCCGTAAAGCATATAAGCAATTAAGCATACACACAAGATACTTGGGTTACTAACCGACTTCCAAAGCTAATTACAAACAAGCAAGGCCCCGTTTCAGATTTCTTATCTAGCAATCACCAAAGGTGGATGCTTTCATCTATCTATGCTTGCTCAAAATTCGTTTCAGATTTGTATCCACAAGACAAAGCAGTAGCATTTCAGTTTGCAACACTGGAGATTGCTATGAAAGGGAACCACAAACTGCACGTAATTAGGAAAACTGGAAAACAAGTGAAGAACCACAATGGTTGGGACCAGAAAGATCAGATTTCGGGCCTGAAAATTAAAGTCCCAGCTGAACAAGCGAGCATGAATCCCGTACACGCTACCACACCCTCAGGTGGAGGTTACAGATACAGAGTTATCCACCCAGAGAGAGCTCTGCGACCTAGGCGAAATCGACAGACGAGATCTAGCGCTATAGATTCACCACCGCCACCGCAAGGGAACATGCCGATCCAGGGGCCGAACAAGCAAGAGCGGCGAACATTTTTTATTTTCTTTAAAAGTGTGAGGCGATGATTTTTCAGTTGAACAGGGCACCAAATCGGAGAGGGGGAGGGGGAAGGGTCACCTCGATGTTGTGCTCCTCGAGCTGGGAGCGGAGCAGCTCGGCGGCAGTCATGGTGGCACGCGTCTCCGGTGAAACCTTGTCGGAGGGGAAAGTAAAACCCTAGCCTAGCTAGGAGGGAGCGGGAGAGCAGAGGAGAGACTGCGACGGGAGGAGGAAGGGAAGAGAGAGACCCGCTTCACTTGTGTGGTGGTCGCGTGGGTCTACACTGGGCCTGGAAAGTGCTGTTCGGCCCTGGGCCTCCACAAATGATTTGGAAAGAAATGTTCACACCCGTTTTCTTGGCCCATCTTGCAATCTAGTAATTGCATTGTAGTAACCCTTCCGTTTTAGGAAACGTTTCTTGAAATAAGCAGTTTTAGGAAACAAAACATAGTCAATATTTCTGCTGACAACTAAACCGGGTTTCGCCTATCGTCCTGTGGCGCTAGCCACCATGAGTTTGTTGGCAACGATTGCTCGTGGAGTCCTAGTGATTTTCTCCTGCCGCTCCCCACTAGACTCTCCTGCGTCGGTGTCCATGGGACCTTCGTGGAAGGCCGACCATGGTGCACGAACAAGGAAGGAAGATGTTGGCGATCCGCTACAATGTCTAGCGCTGCATGAAGATGAAGGGGGTGGTTTTCCTCTCTGAGGATGAAGTAGAGATACCAGATGTCCATACCAATTGCTTGGCAATAGCTAGGGTTCATACCACCAAAGGGTTTAGTATGTTTTCACTTCATTCTGATATGAGTAATGCGTGGAACCCTGCGAGGGAAGTCTGTTGGCGTCTAATAACACCAAAATTGCTCACAATTCAGTTTGGATGCCTAGGTGACTATTGGAACACGGACCGGTTGGTGACATAAACCGGGATCAAAAGGCTTCCACGCGTCAGTAGCTGGCTGGAGTTGAGGTTTTTTTTAAAGTGCATGATTTAGGGGTTTTGGGGGTTATATTTAGGTTGTTATTAGCTAGCTAATAGAGAGAAGTGTTCTCTCTTATATCTTCGTCCTTGGTTACCAATGCTACTGCTATGTTCATTTCACCCGCAGATATATAATAACTCATGCATACTCGCATCATACATCATCATATATAATAACAAGTCCTACTAATCATGCATCATCATACAACTTCTACTCGTTATTAATAATAAGTCATACGATCATCATCCTCATAGTCATCGAACCCAACCCTACATAATTGTTCTTAGCACATGATCATCAGTATCAGGTAGGACCTAAACACCCTTAAGGTAAAATAGCATAAAACAATATAGACCCTGACTCTCCATTATCAAGAATGGCGATCATCCTGTCTCCAATTCTTGCCCTTCGCTGCTTGTTGCTTCCAAGAAGCTCCTTACGACTGTCCATACATTTTTTCCATTCTTTGATTGTTATGTCTCCACTTCTTTTAGAAACCCAGTATGGACAGTTGAGATTCGTAGGACGACTTGGTTGTATGTTCAAAACATGAAGGCTACCATGCGTATACATCAAATGAGGCACACAATCATTCGGGATTATCTGTTGAAAAACATAGTAATATCTTCGTAGTTAGCAATGATGTACTAGTTTTAGAAGTGTGCAAAAAGATCACGGATGTCGTAATAGTAAAAAAATCTTACCATGGTATCTCCATGGTAGTTGCCGTAGTTCAACACGTGCATTAGTGGCACGTATTGACCATAATGTTGAGGAGTTTGATTGTACATATTGTAATTCTCAAGATCAGTACAAAATGCGACCAGATGAGTTTTCTCCTGATAAGTTAATTCGGAGCCTTCGGTGTAGTAGGTTCTGTCTACCATCTTCCGCACATTCTTTGAAGAATGAAAATAAGCTTTCAATGGAGATAAGTTGTCAACTATTTTGAAATAAACAATATAAATTACTTAATAACTATGTTAAGCTCACATGGGGGAAGAATTGGAGGTGTATCCACAAGGACCCAAATCGAAGGTCTCTCTTGCTCGATTGTAGGATCACCAAGATCCATGGTGACAAGCATACCCTCATCAAGACCATACATCTTGCAAAGTGCTTCCCAATTTTTGCAACCAAAATGGGTTACACTCTGAGCATTGCACAACTTTACTTGAAAATCCACACCATGATGGGTACTTAGGAAAAAAAATTTGGTTTCGAAACTTTCATGGTCTTCAAAACCCATCCTCTCCAAGACATAGCGTCTTGCAAAGCATGGGATAAGCTAGTCGAATTAGAAAAGATGAAAAATATTGCCATGATTAAAATAATTGAAGTCATGAGTAATTACGAAAAAAAACTATTGTCGTCGGTTGCGTACCGTATGAACATCGAAGGTCTCCTCGAGCTTAATGCTGAAGCGACGATCTTCGTCTAGCTCAATGAACCTGTCGCAGATACCTCGGTCGTCGTGGCACCAGTCGCACTCCCCCGGGCGGTTTTCGTCGTCCGAGTACGACATTTCCGGCCTATGTTCATAATTCAAATATTAAACTAGATTATTAATCACGGGTTGACTATCGGTGATGTACGTAGCTCCTCCTTTCATTCCTGAGTGCATTATTACATCAAATTGTCTAGCACACGGGAATGAAGGAGAACTTATCCAATATGAGCATTCAATAAGCAAAACCAAATCATAAAATAAGCAAAAGAAAATCATAAAATAAAGTAGTATTCAAATTAGCATGCATTCAATAATTATAAGCAAAAGTGCATCATCTCTTGGTGTCCGTACATCATCGAATATTATCACTAATATAGCATCACTAATACAACTAGAACCGTAGCGCCCGACGGGTATCGACGCGGGCGGTGGACACCCAAAGATAAGGAACCATCACAGGATCATAGCTCCAGTGAGATCCCTGAAGAACCTGCCAGGTATTGTCGAACCTGCCCTCCAATGCAACCATGTAGCGACGGACGTGCTCGTCCTCCTCGCTGACATGGTGACGTACCAGCTCTGCGGTGTCCGGAAGCCTCGGCACCGTCACTGGCCCACGCGACCGCCACCAAACAAGGATCGGGTCAACAATGGGCTGCCTCCTCACCAACCTACATCCCCCGGAAGGTAGCACCTCCCAATACCAGCCTGGCGGAGCCCAGTCCCGAACATGGCCCTGATCAAGCAAGCCTCCACCGCCGAGTCGACTACGAGGAGGATGCGGGATAGGCATCGCCGACGTCGATGCGGGAACTACTTCTATATATAGTTAAATAAAGTAGTTTTATTAATTAAATCAACTAGCTAGTTCAACTACTAAACACTTACTATAAATAAATAAAGTAGTACTTACTAAAAAAAAACTACTTCTATATATAGTAAAATAAAGTAGTTTATTAAATCAACTAGCTAGTTCAACTATATATGAAGCACTTACTATAAATAAAATAAAGTAGTACTTACTAAAAATAAACTAGTATTTTTCTAACTAATTATATTAAACACTTTCTCTTCTTATTTTTTTTCATTTTTCTAAATACATACTATGAACAAAAAAATCATTAAAATTCTATAAACAAAATTACAACAGAAAAAAATCATAAAGATTCTATGAACAGAAAAAAAATCATAAAAATTTGACATATTTGATCTTTGCATATATATGATAAAAAATCTATGAACTGCACATCTAAATTACTACACATCCAACAAAAAAATCTATGAACTACAAAAAAATTTAAAAAAATCTAACAAAATCTGACAGAAATCATAAAAAATCTAACAAAATCTAACAAAAAAATGTACTAACAGAAAAAAAAAATCTAACATAATATGAACAAATTAATTACACAATCTAAATTACACAATATGAACTATACATATCTAAATTACACCATATCTAATCTAACAAATAAATCTATGAACTAACAAACAAAACTAAAAAAAATCTAACGTAATATGAACAAATTAATTACACAATCTAAATTACACAATATGAACTACATATCTAAATTACTACAAATCTAATCTAACAAATAAATCTATGAACTAACAAAAAAATCTAAAAAAAATAAAATAAAGTTGCTCACGGCCGGCGACGGCGACGGCGAGGTGCAGCAGGGCGGGCGGCGACGTCGGGGCGGGGCGGCGACGACGTCGGGGCGGCAGGGCGGGAGGCGATGACAGCGGGGCGGGGCGGCGACGGCGCGCGTCGGTGCAGCAGGGGACAGCGTCGGGGCGGGACGGCGACGGCGTCGGGGCGGGGCGGGGCGGCAACGGCGTCGGGGCGGGGCAGCGACGGCGAGGTGGCGGCAGGGGACGGCGCGCGGCGTCGGGAGAGATCGAACTCGGGGCGGGGCGGCAGCGCTACTTATATACCAAAGGCTTTGGTCCCGATTCGAACGGCAAACCGGTACCAATGCCTGCCTTTTGTCCCGGTTTGAGGACCATTGGTCCCGGTTGGTGGCCCCAACCGGGACAAAAGACTGGCATTGGTACCGGTTGGTGGCACCAACCGGTACCAAAGAGTGGCATTGGTACCAGTTGCCGCCACCAACCGGTACCAATGGACCAGTCTAATTTTTATTTTCTGCAACTGTTTTTTAGTGGATTCTTTCTGCAGCTGTTTTTTTAGTCCCACCTCGCCAAGCGAGAGGCACTCGCAGCTGTTTATAAGCCTTGAGTGCAGAGACGATGAAGAAGAGGCTCAATGCTCACCTGCATGTTTGTTAGCTTCAAGCCTTGAGGAATAGGGTAGACTGCACAGAGCTATGTGCAGTGCAGTTGACACTATTCCGAAAGGCTTGAAGCAAATTAACGAGCATTGCGCCTCTTTTTTATTTTTAATGACTTATTTTTAATAGTTGTGATTAACTTAACTAAAAAATGAGCATAGATGCTTATTTTTAATGACTTATTACAACTCAGAATAAAAAGAAAAAAATAAATATAGCAGAAAAGAAAAAAAAACTATATAAAAAACTACTCAGAAATAAATAGAAGCAAAAATAGTTGTCATTAACTTTACTAAAAAAATGAGCATAGATGCTTATTTTTAATGACTTATTACAATTAAGAAATAAATAGAAGAAAAAATAGTTGTGATTAACTTAACTAAAAAATGAGCATAGATG